CTCGCCCCGCCCCCAGGGAGCCGGCCGGCCCGCTCCACACCCCGCCCCCGGGCGGTGCGGACGCCCTGCCCTCTCCAGGCTCTCTCCTCCCACCTAGGGTGGTACCGCCCGTCCCGGGGAGGCTGCGGCCGCCCCTCCCGCCCCTCCTCCGGCCTGACAGGAAACCGGCCAGCCTCTGCGCGCCTCAAAGTCTCGCGCCGGAGAGAGGAGGGGAGAAGGGCTGGGGACGGGGTGTCTCGCTGTCTACCGTAGGAGGGGCTCCCTATCCGGGCCCCCGGAGCCAGGCTTCGGCTCTTTCCCGCAACCTGAGGTGCCAAGATGGCGGCGGCGCCGCCGCTTGGGAGGGGAGAAGGGGCGGGAAAGTGAGGAGAGTGGGACGTACCATCCCCACCCCGGGGGAGAGAGGAGGAACACTGCACAGGGAAAAGGAAGTCCCACAGGGAAAACCAAGGAACGCCCCTCGCCCCACCCAAGCGTGGATCTGCCCACTCCCCTGGGCCTGGGGCGGTGCTCCATCACGGGACACGCCCCTTCCCCCCAGGGCCAATGAGAAGAGCCGGCCGGGAGCCCTGGGTTTTATGAATGGGTTCCCCACCCACCCACCTGCTGCCGCCGGTCCTCCTCCCGCCAAAGGGTCAAATCAACTTAAGAGATTGCTGGCACCTTAAGACACCTGTCCTACAGCAGAGTCGTAATCGTCTTATTCTCTGGCTCACTACATGACATCTTTGTTGCATAATTCCTCTCGGGCCAAGGATCTCCAGATATTTGACCCAAATGATGGGTCACAGTGCTCTATATGGAAATCCGTCAATTTGGTTCTCAGGATATAGTCGCTCTTTAAACTGTTACAAAAATAAATGTAGCCTTTATTACCAAGTAATATAATAAAACACATAATTAACCCTAGCGTAGGGGAACAGGATGAGGTGATTAAATGAGTAAGTGTATGTTACTTTCTCTCTGGGGAAAGACTAGGTTTTAAGTATTACAGTGCCTGGCATCAAAAGTGCTCAAAAATAAAAATCCAAATTCATTTTAAGCAGAATCACGAATCAGCAGAAAACGAACAGCCCAGTTAATGTGTGGGTCAAGAGTGCCTAAGAAAGTTCATGGATCAAATGAGGCTATGGTGAAAGAATAGAGGAGGGAAAGGAGTAAAGACAGGAGATTGGTCCCATAACTTTTTGGGTTTTTTTAATAACTGACTAAAAAATAGTAGCAAACAACTTCAGGAAATCTAGAATTATTGTAACAAGATTACTACATGATAAAAGGAAGCCATGAAATAAAGAGCTTCCTTTTTTTTTTTTTTAAGAGTCAGGGAGCATATTGGCAATTTGTTCCCGACTCAAAATCATTTGACTTCATCATTGCACTTCCCACATCAAAGACTCTAAGCAGTGTAAAAGGATAGATACCCTAGATCCTATCAATAAACCCAGGCCCCTCTTAAACTAGCTGGATTTGCAGAGGAAAAAAAAAAAAAAAGCTAACCTGCCTTACTATATTACTCAATAACAAGATATAATGTGGTTCCATTACATAGTAAAGTCACTTACCAAACAAGATACTCTCATAAAGCTAACTTTTTAAAAAAAGCATGTAAAAATTACCATTTGTATATATACAGACCATACTTTTACAGTTTGAAAGACAGTTCAATAGTTCAACAGTTCATTTAGGGATTTTAAAATACTTTCCCCTTCCAGATTCTTTGTCACTCCCTTGTCTCTGCCCTAACCTGACATCATTCTGTCACATAGCTACTAAGTCAAGTAAATGTTCATTTACCTCAGTAAGCACAATCTACCTCAGTGACTCTGTAGAGTGAGGTTTCTAAAAGGTCTGGTATATGCTCAGGTGGTGGACAGATGCGCTCACACAGGTGGGAGGAAAGTGGCATAAGAAGAATCACCACCACAGGGAGCAGCCTTCCAGAGCAACAGGAGCGCTCACACCTAGATGGTCCAGTGCCCACCCATTAAAAACAGTCAAAACCCACTTGCACCCAGCAAAAGTTGCTGAGAGTCCCATAAAGCAAGTCACACTAGTTCTCAAAGGAAGCAGCTATTTCAGGAATCAATGGAGGAGAGTCACTTTGAACAGTGGTGGTTTGACATCTGTGGAGGAAGTCACTTGAACTCTTATAAAGAGAATTTTTAAGGGGTCAGCAGCTTCCCTGGAAAATGCAGGAAAACCAGCGAGAGGATGGTTTTTATCTTTTCATAAAGTTCTTCTCCAGAGCTACTGAGGTTCTCTGCAAAGAGTAGATATTCCGCTTCACCCGGTCCTCCAGGGAGGAGGTAGATGCACTCTCCAGCTTCATGCGGCTAGGGAGAAAAGACAGATAAAAATACGTGACAAACGTGTCAATTGGTCATCTAGCAAAATTTGAAGAAACAGGTTGCTAGCCACAAAGCAGCTGTACAAACACAAGCTCTTTTAAGTCCACATATATTACTTCTGACTCCATCTGGAACTCAATTTTTTAAACAAGTTCCAAAGGGAAAATTTATCTGTTTTGGAAAACAGTCAAAGCCTCATTGGAAAAAGAGTTCCTGAGCCATGAATTCTTATTTAAAAGGAAGGCCAAGGAGATTCAATGAAAATACTAGTTCACTTCTCCTCCCCTCAAATCAAAAACATACTCTCTTGACAGCTCTGGACAGAAGCTCAGAGTGGTAACAAAGATGGTCTGGAGACTGAGCTCCATGTTCTCGCTGCACAGACACAGAAACACTGGGAACACAAGGAATGAACTAGCTGTCCAACTGCCCCCTTGGGACCATCACCATGAAAGCTGTTGGGCAGGAAGATGATGCACTCACTGGATAAACTTCCCATCCCGAGAGTCCAGCTTCTCCAGCCTCTGCTCCCGTTCGTCATCCTTAGCGTGCTTCTTAAGGATGCTCAGTCTCTCTTCCTCCCGCCACTTGGCATTTTCCATCATCTCTTGCCGTTTTCGCTCTAGTTCCTCCGATGAGAGCTTTCTGTTGTACACAAAAACCATCCTATCAGGTCTACTCCTCTACCAGCAAAAAACAGAATCACCTTAGGGAGAACAGAAATCAGGTAGGACCCCAGGTTCTCCAGCTCACTGCTCTTTCCAGGGACATGCCCAGAAGGAATGAAACTCAGCACGAGTTTCCTTCCTTCCTAACACCTTGGTCAGGTGGTTTCATCCAAATTTCAAAGACTTTTAGTAAAGGGTTCTACACCCTCACTCAATAATCTCTGGAGCGATTATTCTGAAACATTAAATACAAAATATTCCAATTGTTTGCTCAACAACTTATAGAAGAACAGAGGACTAAGTTATTCATGTGACTTTTGACATCTACCATCTACCCACTGGGCATGCTTAGAAATTAATGTACACAGCTCATGAGTATACCACTTTAGGACTAAGCTAGAAGCCAGATGCCTGAAGAATTTAACTTAACCTCAGAAAGGAATAGGTGAGTCTTCTTTCCTAGCACTCATTACAAATGAAGTTAGAGCAAGAAGGGGAGGTGATGAACCAGCTCAATCACTATTTAACAATGTCAGACACCCAAAGCCATTGCTTCTCAAATGAGTGTGATATACAGAACCTCCTTTTAAAGGAAAAATTATCATCGAAGGCCCATAAGGGAGTGGGAGCCCAATTTTGAGAAACAAACTTAAGATACTAAAACTTGACATTTATTTATTTATAGTATAATGACATGCTTCCTTTCAAAAACCCCACTAAATAAAGTATATAAAATCACAAAGAGAATATGAGAGGAGATAACACTGGAAAAAATATGTCAACAAATTGCTGGAAGATGGAAGTGGATAGAGTGGTAACTACTTTAACAGATTGAGGAAACTGAATCCTACATGCCCAATACTAATCCGAAGCAAAATCCAGGAAAGGCTCAGAAACTGCAGGCCCCAAGTACTTTGGAGGATGGCAGCGGAGGCATAGGGCTGAAAACAAAAGGACCAATTTAAAGTCTGTATAAGAAGCAATTAAGACACCATTGGTTCCTCATACCTAACTTGGGGAAGTAAGTGACTGCTCTCCCAAAGGTCTACAGGAGACCTTTCTGAAGGGAGAC